GTGGTTTCTGGTTCAAGCCACAAACTGTGCTGTATGAAGGTCGGCAGTAGCAAGGCCTCAAGTGTCTTCACTAAAGGGGAGAGGAAAGTTATCGTTCGATAGAACTCCCCTTTGTTGGCGAGTTTTCCAGGTTTCAGAAGTGAAACAACTCTTCCAAACTTCCACACATCGGGTATTTGAACAGCGGCAGGTTAAAGTACTCCTGTCGAGCCTAGATGCTTTAGCATCTGCATGTTGATTTCAATATGGCCAATGTATTTTGACGATTTTGCCTTGTTGATGACACTCTGAACCTTCTCATCGGTGAAAGTGGAGTTGAAATCAATTGAACTTGCTGGCCTAAGAGTTTTAATGAAAGTGAGTCGGGTTCACAAGAGTTCACCAATTGGTGAAATTGCTCAATCGTGCGGTAATTTTAATATATCCACCCTTTAGAAATATATATTTAAAACATATTTATTTCTGACTGAATAATAGCAACAGTTTTATAATCTTTGAAACTATATCTATACCATACATTTACAACACCATCGCATAGCTGAAGATAAATCGATATAATCTAAATACAACAAATACAAATCCAACAAATATACATTTTAACTCTCATCTCTAACAGATAGCGATAGGTAATAGTTGCATACTTAATTAGCTATTCACAAGCTCACCACACCACGAGCCAATCTAATTAAAATGTTGCACACCTTAACACAAATGCCGTTATGTATTGATTATTATTTTATCAAAAGACGTTTATAAATCTTCTAATCTCCAGTGAATAATTGATGTGTCAATTGGTTGTGTTTGAACACTGCAAAACGAATTCCTACGGTAGTAGGTTTGGGTACAGACTAAGACATGCTGGTAGGCCTTGTACACCTTTGGTCGAACCGACTGACACGGAGTAGGGTGAAAATCATTGTTAATAGTGAAAAGCTTGTAAATATTTGTGAATTCATTTACTTAATCCTGATTGTTTTATGAGCTTTACTCGTGTAAAGATGTCCAATAATTAACCGATTATTTAGTTTGTTGTGTGTGAGGGTTGCTTTGTTCTAAGAGATTTTGGCTGGAGTTGTTTATCAAAACATGGTTCGTTGTCCTATGAGAATCCACAAAGTATAAATATACCTTGATTAATTTTTATTAAAGTTTAACATTTGTATTCAATATTGTCCTAAGTTAAGTTAAAAGCACATTCCTATTATATAAGCCTCACTTGGACAGCTGAGCTCGCCAATTCATTGTGACACCTTAAACTCATATACAGACAAAGTGCTTTGAACCTGTCACATATTTGATGAGACTTCTGATATCAGTTTTGGCTATTTCAAAAAGTCCGTCGAACCTATTACTGCCAAGATGTTTCAACCTCAGCTTTTCAAAAGCTAGATAATGAAGGAGAAAGTTTCAGAAATATTTCCATCTCACCTACCTCCATACACCACACCATTTTATTAATTTGAATCCGACAAGATTGGCATTGCCACATGTATACCTCTTGAAAATTGCACAGTAAAATTGCTGAGATTACGGAAAGATGAGCTTTACTAAGTGCAAGTGGTTTAGAGGATCTCCTATAAACTAAAAATCAGAAGGACCTCGCAGTTGCAAAAGAGCTAGTTGTTTACCAAAGCTAAGCACTAACCAGCTCTATAGGTTCACCACTAGAATGCAAGAGGGCAACGGAAACGTTGAAAAATATGCTCAAGTCTTTTGCGTAGTCTAGTGTAGGGCACCTCGAAAACAGTGGAGCATCTCTTGTACACTTGTCCCGCATTCGCTGGACTAGGCTGTAAGCATCTGGGCTCACCACGGTATGATACACTGGAGGAAATATCGATATTGAGGCCGCAGAGTCTGTTAAAATTCGTGTCAAGCGCAGGCATCTTAAAGAGTGACTACTCCTCTTGGAGCTAGCAACTGAGTTTCATCTGGTATCGCAAAGTACCATAACTGGTATACGCGTGGTTTATTGGCCTATTAGATTAACCGAACATAAGCTAATCTTTAGGTAGTCTAGTTTACGACGAATACAAGTATTTGAGTGGCACAAAGCATTCAGTGAAATCATCGAAAACTTGCCTGATGCGAATCGTGCATCTACCACTGCTAATAGACCTGCAATTTCGACAAAAACGACGGCGAGTAGAGGCCGCTATGGGCAACGTAGCTGAGCATCTTACATTCATCATAGGCGTCATTACCAATGACACACGTGGGTTTATGAGTATGTCGTCGAAACAGGCCGAAAACGAAAAGACAAAAATATGTGAAAATCTAGTGTTTTAGGCTAAATTCGATCATATGGTAATTCAATTTCTACACATTGCACCGCTTACTCCAGATTTAAATTCTGGACAAATATTTCAAACTCAATATCAATTCAATATCTAACCTCAATTGTACTCACACAAATCTCTCGCTTATACAAGTATAATAAGCCACCCCAAAGTAATAGGAAGAAGGTTGCAAATTATTGCTTACTTTCAGGGAAGCTTTTAGTAGCTTTCAAGTGACATATAGTTTCACAGGGTTTCTTTGAAATTAGTTCACACGCCCTTATTGAACCACACCCTTTACAAATGCACTAGTTCTTGATAAAATTCACAACTTATTTGCTAGTAAAATATATTGACATATTTACAAGTAAGCAACATAAATACATATTTGCTTTATAATTAGGTGACAGTGATTGCAAATTATCGCATCAGATTGCAGACATTAGCATTGCCGGCGCCAAGCACATACCCAAGCACACATACATAATCGTTATCTGGCACCGGCAACTCAGTGAATATGTATGTATAGTATGTTTGTGGGGAGTGTTGCATTATCACTGCTCAAGTGACGGCGAAGAAAATCACGCACTGCAATTGTTTACATACTCACATTGCTGTTTATTCATATGTTGTTCATATGTATGAAGTGCGTGGAGCAATCGAAGAAGCTGAGTTCAACAATTGAGAGCGATTAAGTAACTAAGAGTTGATCTCTTGTTAAAAAGAGTACAACTTTGAGCGCTAAAACTTTGTAAACAAGGCCTTCAAGTTAATTTTTGTAACCAACATCAAACATCAAATTGGAACAATATACGGCGCTCGGCTGCCCAGTAACATAATACACTTCAAAACATATTTATCTTGATATTGATCAGTAAGCTTAAATGACAGATATACATTTGCTATTATGATCCGATGCAAACAATTTGTTTGATGATGGTACTGTTGTCTTAGACAGTAATCTATGACAAATTTGGCAAAGATATTTCCATACAAAAACACGATTTTCATACGTCAGTTTGAACAACAGCTATCTATACCTAATAATAGTCCAATAATCGATTCAGGCAAATGAGTAGAATCTTAGAGAGGTAAAAACTATTCAAAGAGGGTCGAGAACGCCTTGACGATGAACCACGTTCAGTACGGTCATCAACATCAACTAATGATCATCACGTCAATAAATTAAACAAATTGGTGCTTGAAAATCGACGACAAACGGCAGTCAGAGAGCTTACTGGCATCGTTGGAATATCGAAAGGATCAAAGAAAACCATTTTGAACGATCAGTTGGGCCTAAGAAAAGTGGAAACACGATTGGTTCCAAAATCAAGAACAGCGTCGGGTTATGGTCTTTAAAACAATGCTTGCCGACTGCTAGCACGTCATGAAAGATATTATTACTAGCGATGTCTTGTCTTGGATCTATGCTTATGACCTGGAAGCATACGACCGATTAGTCAAATATTATGGCAAAGGTGAGCCGAAGCCGAAAAAACCCATGTCAAAGCATGTCAAAAATCAAGGTTATGTTGACAGTTTTCTTCAATTGTCGGGATGTGGTGCACTCTGAACTCCTTCCAACCGGCCAAACTATCAACAGGGAATACTTTTTGAGCCTTATGTGGCATTCGCGCGAAACTATTCGTAAAAAGAGTTCGGAATTATAGGCCGAAATCTCTTTTTTTTTGCCTAACGATAATGCACTGTAGCATACTGCATTAATTCTTCGTGAGTTTTTCGCCGAATTTTAAACCAATATCTTGCTGCAACCACCATATTCGCGTTAGGTTTAGGTCCATGTGATTTCTGGCTATTTAGCAACTCAAACGACCGCTTCGAGAAAACCGTTTTGAGTCAATTGATGCCATTAAACGTGAATCGCTATACGCATTGAAGTCGATTCCGTAAATTGACTTTAACCACTGCTTCAAGGATTGGAAAAAAATTGGCGCAAGTGTATTGGGGCCAAGGAGTATTACTTTGGGGGCAATGACATAGATTTTGAACACGAGAATTTTAAAATTATGAAGAAATTTTTAATATTTTTTGCTCATAGTAGTCCATGACAACTTTTGGAAAAATCCACTCGAAGATGATCCTAAGCAAAATTTCTAAAGTCCATAAATATGTTTTGATCTAATACAATATTATAATTAACCTGTGGGTTACCAACCTTTGAACAAAGAACTATGACGACGCAATACCATTAGGAGTAATATTATAGCGAAGAGTTAGTGATTCACTATATAAAATAAAACTTCGGAGCTTAAACGATGAAAAGCAAATACACAAACCTCACGTAATCCAGAATATTCCATAACTTTTCGCCTTTTTCAATTGCTTTTAAAATCACCTGTTTTTCACCTGCCAGCGTTGGCTACAATTCTCATAGATATTGCTGCTGTACTCGTGTATGTAACTACTCTCTTACACTAATCAAACGAGCGCCAACCAATGGAGCGTGCGCAGAGCGCGTTATCACTAGACCAAGTTTACTGTTATACACCCAAGTCACTGAGTAGGTGGCGACACAACATACGCCGCACTGAGCGATGCCACACTTGAGTAAACAAGCAAGAGCCAAGATCGCCGATCAGCAAGCAGCATTCAACCGGAACGAGTGAGCGTATCAATGTACATGCGAGTAAATGAAGTAAAACAGCTGAGCAACAGCGTAGAGAATTCGTAAAACAGTTTAAAACTAAACTGCCTTGAGGCCAAGTCCAACAGTTATAAACGAAACTCTAATGAGGAAAGTGCACGATAGAAACGAGGTAAATAATTGTATGTGAAAAAAGGTAGTAAACAACAAAAACAAGTGCTAACAAAACGCAATAGCAGTGTACATGTGTGTGCAAAAAGGTGTGTTAGAAAAATTTATTATACTATATATTGCGATATTTAGTCGACGCCCGAGCTTATTGATATAAAGTGATGATTTTTAGAGAAATACGGTTAAAATAATGAATTTTCTGTGTCAAAAAAAGCAACAGAAGCGGAAAAAATGTATGTGTCAATTGTGGAGTTAAAAAAAAAAATATAAAAAAAAAATATATATATAAAGTGCATAAGTATACAAAAACAAAATTAAAATTTCTGTCTCTTATACACATCTAGATGTGTATAAGAGACAGTAATATATGTATGTATATAAAAAATAGTAATAATAAAAACTAAAAAAAAAATTAAATATTTAAATGAAGTATATGTAATATATAAAAGCAAACAAAAACACAAAACTAATATTTAAAAATTAAAAAAGTTTCAAAATTCAAAAAAAAAAAATTTAATTAAATATATAAAAACTACAACAAAAATAAGTTTTATTAAAAATATGCAGTGTATTTTTGCGAATTGCGTCAAGTAAAATTAATAAAATATTTGTAACTACAACTTACACGGGTGTCCAGTATATAACCAGCGTTGTACGTGCCTTTTGAACATTTTTGCAGCTGCTTTATGGCAAAAATATTTTTAAAAAATTATAATAATTGACGTTGACATTCAAATCGACACAACTGAAATTAAACAGGCTAAAAATACATATGTATGTATGGATATGTGTGTATGTATATAACGCTATGTGCCTTTATTCAAATCAGTCGTTTTGACGTTCAAATGACAAAATACATGCAAATATTTAACTCGAATCAATAAAAGCCACCAATATACTGGGACTAAGCGCACTTGAATAAAATAACAAAAATAATAACACACTAGAATTAAACAACAACAAGCAAAACTGGAACAAATTAGAATAATACAAATTTTTGGTGATACAGTCGATATGCGATTTAAGGTGTATTATAACGGTTATATATTTTCTGAAAAATAATAATAAGAAAATACTGTTGGAAATAGACTCATAAATATTTTCTGTATTCGCATAAATTTACTGTTGGAAGAAATTCAAATTTGTGACAAGTGCTAGCCGAGCCCTGAGAGATATTATATGTAAATATTTTCTTAGAGTTCGGAATAGTGGTACGGTGTACTATGTACAACTATCCCGAACGGTTATATATCTTGAGAAAAGTAAAAATACTTTTCAAAAGCTACTAATAACAACATATTTTCTATGAGTTCGGTTATTTTTCTATGAGTTCGATTGTCAAAAAAGTCTTGCGGTATTTTCGCTGGTTGGCGCTGAGAGCGCGTTGTCTAGTTTTATTCGTCGCGTCGGGTCTTGCTATACCTTTTTGGAAAGCTCATTTTACGCGAAATATGAAATCTGCTTTATGCATCTGTGATTAATGTACGAGTAATAAAATTACTAAAAAATATAATTTTAGGAATCTTTATTGAAATTAATTATTTTTAACATACTAGAGTTGCGGTTATAGCTGGACGTTTCGCTGAGAATTTTCGATAGTATATACTAATTTTGTGAGGCTTGCGCTTTTCACATGTCGCCGACTTTTAACTTGTCAAGCATTACTTAACGATGAGAAGAAAGCAAAATAGGCAATGATTGCTCACCAGTTACAAGTGGGTTATCAAAGTAGGCCATAGAATCATAGATCTTTAAATAGTTGGAATGACTAGTGAATCATATATTTTCGAGGAATTGCGGTTGCGACGTTGAAGAAACTGTTAATAAAGTAGCCTGATACTACATCTATAAAGGCTAGATGTCTTGAATAACGTAATAACTATTAATATTCAGTATAATAATAGCTTTGTTGGTGGCTAATAATTTTTTTTAGTGCTCTGTATACTGATTGTTAAGGCGGAGAAATTTTATAGACATTTATAGTAAAAGGTGATCCATTTTGAGCCTCCCTACTTTTTTAAAGTGGGTGAAATGGCAGCTTTCTTTAGGTTGCTTCTCTTTCCAAATTTTGCTTGTTTACATACCCATTGAGCCAGAAATGGGCCTCAACGCTGAACAAAATTCTAAAGAGCACATAGGGTGAAGTAATGTCGCTTGGGAAGGTCGAGTGGCTTCAGTTCTAGCACATGAGAATCTGTCGAAAAAAAGGCTACTGGAAAAAGTGCTTCTACTTGGATTAAACGTTAGACTATTACAGATTTCTTGCCTTGACAGCTTTCACACACAGGGCTTACTCTTACGAAAGCTTATGAAAGCTCAATCTGCTACTTTAAGTACATTTATTCTTTCCTTGCATTGTTTTGTGATTTCACATTAGATAATTAATTATAATTTCACTTCTCGACGATATTATTATGAGATTTTCGGGATTCACTAAAACAAAAATAAGATGATTATCTGATCACTTTAGTTGCTACTAATTCAGTTTTCATTCAAATGCCTCGAAGAGCTGCGTCTTTCAAAACTTCTCTAGCTAATGGTGGAATAATTAGATGACCGTGGAGAAATTTATTTTGGTTGAAATATTTTTTTTTTGTATCCTTATTTTAACTTTTTCTCAAACTATGCTGAGCGATTACACTTCTTTTTTGCAGTAAAGCGCCGAAAGCGATATAGGCATTAAAGTCAATTTTATCACTAATGCATTCTAAATAAAAAAGAATGCTCTGCCGGTTAGAGTTTCACTAATCAAACCAAAACTAATACTATAGGATTTGCCAATAAGAGAAATGATTTATTTTCAAAATCAAAACGCACTAGTTGTTAAGGAAATTTAAATGTTTTCATGTCATGTGAAGTATAACGTCATTCATATGACCTCCACTGCTTCTTTTGCAGGAACGAATTCGATTAACGAAATTCCCGAGTACTTTTTTCACTAAATCAAGTGGTATGTTATGAATAACACTTTCAATATTGACTTCTGAGGCTTAAAAAGGGCAAACAAATGGCAACACTTAACCTAACAAAAGCACTAGTTTAATTATTTCGAGCGCAAAAATTAGAGTTCTCACAAATTGAAATAACTACATTTTTGAGCACTCAAAATATCGAGTCATCCACCGTATAGTCATGACTTGGCAACAATGACTTCTTTTTATTCCCGTTCGTAAAAAATAAATAGGAGGTCAATGCTTTTCTGCCCCTAAAGAGTTTCTAGAAGTGTTTAAAAGGCATGTTTTGGAAGTAATTCAATCAGAGTGGCGAAAGTTCTTCCACAATTGGTTCAAAAGTATTTACATCTCAATTGAGATTATTTTGAAAAACAATAAAGCCCTTTTCGATGATCTATATGGCTCTAATACTGAAATATAAAAGGTAGTCCGTTTGTGTATACACATACATCATTTCAAGAGTTCGAATAACGTCAGTGCCGATCTTTGCGCAAAGCAATACCGTTACGTAATTCAACCTGCGTAGACAATTCTAAAGTCATAAATATTTACCAAATTTAATGTTTTTTTTTTTTATTATACTGGTATGTGTTGAATATTGCATAAGCTTCGTCAACGGCTGTTTCAGCACTACGCTGACAATTACTTTGTAAGAATGATTGTTTTTTTTTTTGGTTTTTTTTTATACACGTGCTGAAACATTTTCCGCAAGTGCTGAAAACAGCTGTCACCACAAAAAGTGCAGACTTGGAAAGACACATTGAAAATATTTTAGTTATATAATATTTTATTTTCTCTTTTTATTTTTATTTTTAACGGCTAACTAGTGTAATTTCTGCAACACTTTTTTGCAACAACAAGACTGATTTTTTTAACACTTTTATTGAATTTGTTTTTGTTATTAAATTTTACTATTTTTCCATTTGAAATATTTGACACATTTGCGCATGCCGCGATCAAAATAAATAAACTCGCGACATCGATTGTCTCCTAGCCATAACAGTGTGTGCAAAAAGTGCAACTGATTTGCAATTTTTCGATTTTTTTGTAATTTAATAGTTTTAGGATGCAGCTGCCATGCAAAAATTATGGTGTGAGCAAATACATGCAATTTCACACATTTGCCGGCACATACGTATATTTATTTGCATGCATAAAAAATTGATGTGCAAGGAAACCAGTTTTCACACTCAGCATCAGCCGCCATTCACGCCCCTACGTTGCCACACCTGCGATATCCGCAATCGCTTAACAAAACTCATTTCGCGCTAAATGCTTTTAGCGCCCTTTTTTATTGTTTTAACTCATGCAGATTTCTGTTTTTTATTTCGTTGAACTGCGTTAACGCCCAAAGTGCGGCTAAAGATTTTAATCTGCAGGAATCCCAAGGATCGTCATTGATTTGTTGTCGCGCTTTTTTATGCGCCGCTTGTCGCACGCTCAGCTGCTGCCATCAGTGGCTTGACAAGTTTTTTTTTTCTTTTTCGCATTTTTTGCGCGCATTTTAATTGAATTTATTCCCTTTTGGCGGCATTCCTTACAAAACTGTTTATTTTTATTTTGCACCGCTTTTGCTTTAAACATTTTCGTGGAATTCGAATTCAGTAGATAAGCGCACAAACATACATATTAATCTGTAAATATTGGCATATAAACCGAAACCCTCACTTATTTGAAGTTATTTTTAAACATTTTTCGCCTGCAAATTATAATTTTCCCTACGGTGCACGTGTGCGGTCTGGTGTAGATAATTAATACCGGCTGGCAGTTCATTACACCATTTAATTGTATTGCGTTGACGGCTAAATGCGCTTCAGCTGCTGACTTCGACGGTTGGATATGCTGCTATGAACTTGTAGTGATTTTATTTAGCTTTTTCTGCTACATTCCGAATTAAATAAGAAACCGAGTTCGAATGGAACAAGTTGGCGATTGAGTTCGCGATCAGAGATCGATGCCAACATTCAACCAATTGATTAGTATAGGGTGCCAGAGAGAAGGACTTCAAACCAGAAGAAATACCTGTAACGCACTACACAGCTCTATTTCTTGCAGCACAAAAGGACATATAAAAATCTTATTGCTGTTGGAGCGGCAGAATTTTGCGGAATTGACAGTCCTGGCCGGATAAAAAT